AAACAATTAGCCTCCAGGGTGGTGGCACCATGGCTCTCTCTACTTCTGTGGCTGTACCTGTGGCTCAACGGCGCGCGGCCCCTCCTTTATCGATAAGAGTGGGTTTTCCCATTCTGGACAGCCATTGGCCGACCGCCAGATTTTCTCTGGCAGAAAAAGTAGATTTCGGCTTGTACATACAAGGCGGCTGGGACAGAATTGACAATACTTTCCAGCAAGTCAGCTTGACTTTCTTCCGGACTTGTTTCTTAATCACTACAACACACTCCCCATTATCAATTGCATCCTTATTACTCTGCGAACATGGCCGCTACTAAACACTCCATCGCTGACAGCGAGGAGGCAAGCCGCCCAGTGAAAAAGTCCAAGACCGTCGACAATGAAGAATTGTCCGAGAAGGCGCGCTTAAAACAGGAGAAGAAAGACAAGAAGGAAAAGAAGAAGGAAAAGAAGCGCAAGGCTGAAGCCGCGACCGCCGTTGCAGACGACTCTGACGAGGTCATGGAGGACCAGGACGAGGCCGAGGTCGAGGCCAAGGCACAGAAGAAGGCCCGGAAGGAAGAGAAAAGGAAGCTCAAGGAGGCCAAAAAGGCCAAGAAACAGGCTCAAGAGGATTCCGAGCCTGTTGTTGACGAGAAAGAGGAGGAGGAGAAGATGCCCAAGCCTAAGAAGGAAAAGAAGGAAAAGAAGGAGAAGAAAAACAAGACTACGAGCGCACCGGCCCCGTCTAGTGCCAATGGCTACGAACAGACTGCTGCCCTCAACGGTGTTGCGCAAGCCGATATTGACACTTTTCTCGAGACCGAACAAATCACCATTACCGACCCCAAGTCGAGCGAAGCCACGCTGCGACCCATTCTCGAATTTGCCCACCTCCCGCCGACCGACCTCTTGACTAAGAAGGGCTCGCCCTTTGCCAACTACAAGGCCCCTACGCCCATCCAGGCCGCCTCCTGGCCCTTCACCCTCTCCGGGCGCGACGTTGTCGGCGTCGCGGAGACGGGTTCCGGAAAGACAATGGCCTTTGCGCTGCCCTGCGTAAAGGCCGTCGCCGCCATTGGCAAGCGCGGCACAAAGGCCGTCATTGTCTCACCGACCCGTGAGCTCGCCATGCAGACGCACGAGCAGCTGGCTGCGCTCGCCACGCTCGCCCGTCTGAGCTGCGTGTGCCTCTACGGCGGCTCGTCCAAGGACGAGCAGCGCGCGCTGCTTAACCGCGGCGCGGACATCATCGTCGCCACGCCCGGCCGTCTCAAGGACTTCATGTCGGATGATACCGTCGACTTGAGCGGCTGCCAGTTTGCAGTTCTCGACGAGGCGGACCGCATGCTCGACAAGGGATTCGAGGACGACATCAAGCAGATCCTCGGCAGCTGCCCGCCGCGCGAGAAACGCCAGACGCTCATGTTCACCGCGACCTGGCCGTTTTCCGTGCAGGCGCTGGCCTCCACATTCATGGTCGAGCCCGTCAAGATTACGATTGGCTGCGGCGGCAAGGAGACGGAGAACGGCGCCGTCGAGCTGCAGGCCAACACACGCATCACGCAGCGCGTCGAGGTCCTGGACGGCAAAGACAAGGAGTTTCGTCTGCTGCAGGTGCTGAAGCAGGCGCAGCAGGGCAGCAAAAAGAATGACCGCATCCTGGTGTTTTGCCTGTACAAGAAGGAAGCCACACGCGTGGAAAACTTTCTCAGCCGCAAGGGGATCCGCGTCGGCGGCATACACGGCGATTTGCGCCAGGAACAGCGTACCAAGGCGCTTGAGTCTTTCAAACTGGGTCACACGCCTGTCCTGGTGGCGACTGATGTCGCTGCCCGTGGGTTGGATATCCCCGAGGTCAAGCTTGTCGTCAATGTTACTGTATGTGCAGCACGCTCACGCTCTCGAGTATTCAACTCTCATCACTAACTGCCCAGTTTCCCCTGACAATCGAGGACTACGTCCACAGAATCGGTCGTACCGGCCGCGCTGGCAAGACTGGTGATGCCATTACGTTCTTCACGGCGCAAGACAAGGCCCACTCTGGCTCGTACGTGCTTTCTATTCTTACTGTGATTAGGCCATGACTAACGGCTACAGGCTCGTCAATATCCTCAAAGGTGCCAATCAGCCCGTACCGGACGAACTGCTCAAATTCGGCACGACTGTCAAGAAGAAGACGCACGACATGTATGGGTCTTTCTTCAAGGACGTTGACATGAATCAGAAGGCGACCAAGATTACATTTGACTAGGCCAGAGGTTCAGCGATTTTGTTGCCATACTTGTTTATTACCATCTGGAGTTGTTGGGTTCCTGACTTCGTGTTTATACATTATTTCTTTGTGCTTTTCTTGGAGCCCTTGGCGACGTCTTTCGAAACTTCATTGGAGTTTTCCTTGGGGTTGTCCTGAACACTCTCCTTTGGGCTTTCCGTCTCGCCTTCTATGGGAGGCTCACCGAGAGAGTCTACGCATTCGACGAGGAAATCCTTTTCTATGAACAGTCTGTTGATTGTTGTGTCAGCTTATTTTATAGCATATGAAAAGTTTGGGTTTGGGATTATTCAGGGCAATGTAAGACACTTACATCAGCATCAGTAGCACCACACCAGAGCTACCGATGATAATGGCGGCCGTGATGGGTTTTTCGTAGCTTTCCTTTTCAATGCCGGTTTGAAAGAGGCCGGCAAACGTAGAGACGGAGGCGGCAACGGCCTCGTCTGGGATAAGCTTACGCACGGAGAAGTTCTTGTTGTAGCGAGCAAAATACCTCTTGATAAACAGGAGACTCCATATGATGCGGCAAAACATGTTGACAATGTTGGCATAGACGAGACCTTGGGCCCCAAGACCCAGAACTCCCATGAATATGTACGCCGAGCCGGCAAACATGGCAGAGAAGAAGCCCATCCAGACCGACTGCCGATGGACCTCGGCCTCAGTGGCGACACTGGCGACAAACGACTCGGTCAAGCCATTGATGGCCAAAAAAGGTACGTAGAGGCAATAAATGGCGAGGACATCGCCTGCGCCGGAGCCGTCCCAGCGGCTTCCGATGATGATACGCAGCAACGGAGGGGCCGCAAATGGTCCAATGCCAACGACAAAGCCAGAGAGAAGTAGATATAGGCGCAGCAGTGTGTGAAGGCTCTTGCTAGCCTCGCGGACAGCCGACGGCGTCTTTTCAGGCTTGACGAGCAATTTGGAATAGTAGCTGCGGGTCGATTCTTCAATCGGCTGGAAGAGAAGACGAGCAAGCAGACCGCCGTAGTTGTTTGCGAGGGCGTACGACCCCTGGACTACCGGTGAGGCGAGGAGGGAAATGAGGAATGTGTCGCCCTGCGTGAGAACATGCTTGACGACGCTCTGCGTCATCATACTGCCGGCGAGGCGAATGGTGGGTTTGTAGAAGCGGGAGAGGATGAAGGCGCCGGGGGCGGCGTTTGCGATGCGCCGCGGCAGCAGCGAGTAGCCGACGAGGGTGCCGAGGCGCCAGCCCGAGAAGACATAGACGAGGACGAGGGCCGTCCCATAGGCGAGCTGGCCGAGGGCCCAGGGCATGACACCAACCTCCATGCCGCGGTTGGCGGCATTGACGGCGGTGATGAAGACGACGAAGCAGCGCACGAACGTGGCGGTGGACTCGGCGGCGGCCCTCGTGCTCAGTCGCCTGACCGACTGCAGCAGCACAAAGCATGGCTCCGAAAGCAGCTCCACCATGGCCGCCAGCCCGTACACCTGCAGCGATAGCGTCATGTACGGCGTTTCCAGAGTCGCCGGGTTGGCGTATGCGAGGTACATCCAGCCGAGGGCGAGGCTGGTGACGGTGCCCAGCACAATGGACAGATAGCCGAGATTGATGAGGGCCTGGCTTTCGACTGCGTCCATTGACGTCTTTTTCGATTCCGTCTTTTCCTTGTCCTTTTCCTTGTCGTTGCCATCCTTGTTGGTCTTTGTCTTTTCGGCCACAGCCGTCGCATCATCTTCCATTGGTGCCTTGATGCCGTCGCTGATGCTGCCCTGGCGCTGGATGGCCACGCGCAGGCTCTCGCGGGCAAAGAAGAGCACGGAGAGGTAGTACACCTCGAGCTGCGTCGAGAGGCCGAGTAGCGGCGCTGTGAGGTAGCGCACGAGCAGCTGGTTGGCGACAAAGGTGATGAGGCGCGAGATGAGCTGCAGGATGATGAGGATGGACGCGCCCTGGACCATGCTCGTGGAGGAGCCGGTCGCCTCGGCCGCGGTGTCATTTGACGATTTGGCCTGCTTGGGCGTGGCGCCTCCCTTCCGTCCCTTGGACGCCATGGTGAAAGCTGTTTTGTCTTGAGACTGGCAGACAAACAGATTTGGGGGCCGCACCGCAGGGGCAAGTGCGCTGAAGGTTGATATGTGGTGGGGAGATCAAAGGAGACGAGTTTTGGCCAGATTGGGCTTGGGCGGGGCGTTTGATTGGACGTTTGTCGTATTGTAGCGCCGACGCAAAACGTGTGTAGAGATGTCTATCTCAGGAGCACGGTCTTGCAGAGGAAGAAGGGCTCTTGTAGTGAAGTTTTTTTCTTTCGCTTTTTGTAGTTTGGCTAATAAACGGTGGCGGTGGCTGTTGCGACTGGCTGCATAGGGAAGCCGCCAGGCTGCATGGCAGGCACATGTTAATGAAACCTCCTATAGACTTCTATATATTCTGTCTGTCCTGATCACCGTTTACATATCATTGATTACTCTGACAAAATTCATTAACTATCTTCTTTGTTTACATATGTCGCCAGGCTGGACCTCCTCAGTTCCTAAAACGACAGTCATTCTTTGGTCGAGATGTGCTACGAGAACCCTTACTATAAGTCAAATCCAATATGGTTATAGTCAAGAGATTGACAAGCGGGAAGATTTCGCGTTGCCCACCCCGGGAACTGTCTCGGGGTGTTGTTGACTGCGCTAAACTTCACTAATAAAAATCTCCTCGAAAGTCTAGACGAAAAGCAGTAAAGCTCTCTAGTCTGTAATAAAGGTGTCTTACTTTCAGCCAGGACCCATGGCGCAACGGTAGCGCGTCAGATTCCAGTCCCCTGGAGATTCCTGAAGGTTAGGCGTTCGAATCGCCTTGGGTTCAATTCCCGCTCCTGGTTTCTTTTTTGCTTTTTTATTCTTTCCAAACAGTTTGTGGTATTTCTGAGGCGCATGAATTTTTTTGCCCCGTGTGGTTCGTGCCTACGTTCTTATCGGTTTTCCAGCATCCTTGACTGACAAACAAAAGCCTGCTTGCGGCGATGCAAAGACGTCAGAGTTGTCTGGACCCTGAAGAATGGCCGTTGTGGGGGCATAGCGAGGCTGGGACAAATTTCGGCGTAACGCAGCAGAGGTCAGAAATGCTGCATCGGTCACCTCTACCCTACGCAGGACACAGCTCGCATCTTGTTAGGGGCGAGACACTGTCAATAGCTGTACGACAAGTGCTTGACCAGCGCCTTCATACCCGGTGCTCAAATTATCCCAAGAATGGTCAAGTCGGCAAGTCATCATGACAGCGGCTGAAATCATACAGGGTGCGTAATAATCGTTGATACTGTCCCAACCGGGGTCGCTCGAGGGTCTTGCCACAACAATGTTGAAACATGTATGTGAGCGTGCGCTTGGCTCATTGGCTCATCGAAAGTGGTAGCGTTGCCGTACTAATGTGTGATGCCATGGTCGCTGCGTGATTTGCCAGTGTGTTACAAGAAAGCCGCTTTTCGTCAAGAGCATTTGTTATGGCCTTGTCTATACCAAGGCACAATCACACATCTACCCGCCACATGATTGTTACCCGCCAACCGCTTCTCTCCCCTTGATCTCACTCAATCTCCTCCATCTCTGGCGTGTCCCAAATCTTATGGCGATCAGCAGCAAGCAAGCCAAGAGAATACTCCTCTCCTCCATCTCGTGTCTCACAGAGTCGCAAACGCAACCCAACCGCGCGTCAGCAGCAAGTGATGATCCGTATCGGTAGACCATCCACCTCTTACTCGTTTCATCTTGTGCCCTTCCAGAGAAGTGGTAAAGTTCCGAGCTTTGCAAGAGGAGGTACAGCACCAATATCACTACCATGGTTAGGGCACGTTGGACACCCGGTGTGTTAAACGTGTGAGCCCCGACATGCTGAATTCGAGAGTTTGACGGCGTCGTTACCTCGCAGATCTTGTCTTTTGTGTATTTAGTGACGGAAGGCTGGCATACTGATAGATGATATTTGAAAGGCGAGTCTGGCAAGAGCGCATGAATATATTTTTCATTAGATTACCATTCATAACACCTCGATTTAGCCCTGCTTGCTTCTAAGCTAGGGCTGACCATTCGAGATATGTGACTGTAGAGTAGCCTGTGAGAGCCAACGATGTCTTAGTAAAAGCTGAATATCGCCAGTCACAACTATCCTGTTAGGGCATCATTGGAAAACGACGTGTGCAAAGTCTTGATTCATATATATTTCGTCATGTCAACAGACAAAGAGACGGCCTACTGTGGCCGCGGGTATCGCGTGCTTAAACAACCTTGTGCATCCAAACCGAATTTCAACATGCAAAAGTAGCTGTCGTATGTAGTGGTAAAACTCCGTAAATATATGCAAAATAGTGAACAGTAGCCCCAAGCCTCCTTCTATACAGGTTGTTGTAGGGTCCGCATGTAGTGGTACATACGTTGTTGTTGTTGTTGTTGTTGTTGTTGTTGCTTTCTAGCTTAGGCCTTCGAGGCCTTCATGTAGTGCGTCGTGGTCGATGACATGTGCACTAACTTGTGCTGGCGCACCCCTTCGTTTTTGGGATGCCCAGTATTCTTGAAATCCTGGAATAGATCCAGGCTGGTTGATGCCAGGCGATCTATCCAGATCCCTGTCCTTTTCCTTTTTTTGTGGCGTGAAGGATGTCTCCGAGGTATCTTCGGTGGTAGCAGGGCCAGGGCTCGATGTGCCGGCTTCCCCAGTGCCACTAGCTCCCCAGGGCCGCCAAGCTGTCCAACCGCGGAGCTTTCTCTGGCTGCTTGTCGTCGGCGAAGAGACGAAACGTGGGGGCTTGAGTCCAGCAAAGTTATCGCGGAGAGCGACATCACTACGCTTGGTGGAAGAGCGCGAGAGGGTGGGCTGGGCTACCACGCCAGTGACGACAGCGTCGGCGCCACCCAAGGGACGAAGGGTCATTTGGCTCGGGCGAGCTTGCAGTGTGTGGATGTCAAGGCCTCCCGACAGTGACATTATCGACTCATGCGAAGCGGTTCTGCGTAAAGTGCGTCGTGGAGACACAATACTGCTCGGGCACGTATCAACGTCATCTGAGTAGATCATGTCTGATGACGGGTCGCCATAGTTATGATCAGACCTCGACTTATCTCCCTCGGGTATCGACAGCCGGGGTATGGGGGGCAATTCCGGTTCCGAGTCTAAGCAGGCGAGCGACTGAAAACTATGCGACGACGCTACCGAATGCTGCTTGACATGCGAGGCCAGCCAAGGCGGAGACAACGGATCCACACTCGTAACAGGCGATGCCATGGCGGTGGGAGGAGTGGAATCAAACACGGATTTGTGGTTAGCCAGTGGCGAGCTGGGCACAGAAGATGTATAGTCCGTCTCTGATTGCAGCTGCGATAGCGCAGACCACACCGGCGGGGGCTTCGAGGTAGTCGGCGTCACTTCTTCTGGGCTGGCGTGAGACAGCAGCGCTGGAGCTGTTGGCGAACAAGGCAGACGCCCGCCCCATTCAGATGTGGCTTGAGGTGGCGTACCTGGTGCTGAAACCGAAGTAGGGGGGGTGCATATCCCGATAGGAAGTAGGCCTGTTCTGGGCCTTTTCAGCTTCTTGGAAGGCTTTGGTGTGGGCGCAGCGTGATAGTGATGGTGGATGTGCACTTCCTGAGAGAGAGCCTGGCCAATGTGATGCGGCCGGTCGTCCAACTTGTCCTCAAGTTCGGCCTTGAGAGTGGAGGCAGGGCTTGCAAACTGCTCGTCTTCGACGGGTTGCTGATACACTAGCTGCTCTCGCAACGCTTGTATTTCGTCGTTGGAACCCTCGAGAAGCTCTCTAAGCTCGGCGATTCCGAGTTGAAGATTGGCATTGTCCTGAAGAAGATCTCGGACGAAATGGCCGACAATCTTATTGTTTTTGCCATCGCCCTGTAAGGAGCGAGTGGCGGCGGCGCCTTTAAGGCGACCGGCGGCGGTGTCGAGCTGTTTCTCGACGTCACGCTGTCGCTCCATGCGCTTCACAGTCTCGGCATGGCGTTCGCGTTCCTGTGAGGCCTCCACTTCCAAACGGTCCAGCTGATCTTGCATATCGATCATGCCGCGCTGGGCCTCTTTGAAGCGCAAGGCGTGGGAGCGGGCATCATCCTTAGTAGCGCGAAGTTCCTCGTGCAGCCGATCCTGTTCCTGCTCGAGCAAGGCGAGGTGGCGTTCGGCATCGGCAGCCCGCGCTGCTGCGCTTTCGAGACGGCGCACGGTTGAAGTCGAGGACAGCAGATTGGTCTCGAGCAGTCTGATCTTAGAGTCGGCGTCGGAAACAGTGGTGTTGAGGGTCTCAAGCTGATCTAAAAGGGCACGATTTTCCTCGATTTTGGCAGCGTTGACTGCTTCGAGCAGACGGTTCTCCATTTCGAGGCGGCCGATGCGTGCAGTAAGTTCGAGACGATCTCGCTCGGCGTCGGCTTTGTAGGCCTCGTGACGGGCGAGCAGAGCCTGTGTGCGTTACGATTAGTGGCGATTTTTCACTCCATTGTGCGGCCAGAATGCGGGACAATGGGAATCGTATATAAACGATGGCTATCGAGTTGGGCAAAGACGGTGCAGAAAAATAGGAGAGAAGAGAGACATGGAAAAGCAAAAACAAAATTGGGTGAAACAGTTGAAGACCATGTCGGGTGGCATGCAATGATCAGCCAGCCACGGCGCGAGGTCGGAAGTCGGAGCCGGTTTGGTAGTGAAGCACAAAAACAACGGGTATGTTTATTGGAAGCGCGCGCGCAGAAGCTGACTAGCAGAGGAATGGATGACAGAAGACCAAGGATGCAACGCCAAGGAGAGCTAGCTAGCGCCGAGGAGAAGAGGGCGCGAAGGAGGGTTGCATAAGGCCGCGTATTGGGTGGTCTTTCGGGCTGGAACGTGAATTATGGCGACATGAATGTGGAGGGGCAGTGAGCCGAGGCGCTGGAGCCAGGCCAGCGAGCCACAGTGGACGCGTGCCACGCGATATTTGGGCAGCAGAAAGGGAAAAGGAAAAGAAAAATGACAAAAAAAAAAGAATATTGGCTGTCGTACCTGACCGAGCTGAGCAGCTGTATGCGCATCTTTTTCGACAGCTTCGATGAGATTTGTATTCCTTCGTAGGACGAGACATTGGGCGCGACCACAGCAGCACTGCAGCGTGGCTGAAGGTGTCGCGGAACGGCGACCGTCGGGTACAGGAGTCAATCTGCGCGACGGCGGCGCCATCTCGAGCCGTTGAGGGCAGTCGCAAATGATGTTTGGTGTCTTTGTACTCCGTACTCTATGGTGATGGCGAGAAAAATGAAGGTGTCGTGGTCGGTTATTCGGAACGAGTCATGTGCGAAAGCAGCGGCGTGACGTAGCGGACCTGGACTGTCGAGAACCACGGGACGACCATGGTACTGATAATGGCCGGCGTAATGGAAAGTGGATAGGTATGGGACAATACTTAAGAGTCGGCGACGTATAGAGGATAAGGATATTGGCAAGGGAGGGCGAGGGAATGCGGTTGATAATAATGTTGGTGTTTGTAGGCGGTGGTGGTACAGCGAAGGGATCGTTGAAACTAGAGCGGGTGTAGGTTTGAGGGTCCTGCGTCGAGGAGGAAATCAGAAGAAAGAAGAGATTCGTTGCGAGAGAGCGAGAGAATTTTCAAAAGATGGGAAGCAAAAGAAGGAGAGGCGAGAAAGCAGACGGCGTCAAATGTTATGTTTCAGCGGCTAAAGAGAGGTTGGGCACAACGAGGTGCCTCGACACCTCGCGAACTTGGACTAACCGAACATGGGTCAAGTTGCCAGGTGAGGGTACTCGAGTGTACAAGTTCAGGCCTCCAGATACACCAGTGAATGGTTGTTATTGTCAAGTATATGCTGCATTTT